AGAATTTCTTAAGGGTCAAGTTTTGGAGTTGGGGCTCTAAGCACTGAGGGACTTCTTCCTCTCTGCTGCCTCCCTGCTCTTTTGTGTATGTGTGTGTGAATATTTATGTTTGTGTGTATGAGTGTATGTGTGAGTACATGTGTATGTGAACGAGAGTGGGTGTATATGTATGTTTGTGTGTGTGTGTGTGAATATGAATGCTTGTGTGTGAGTGAGTGTGTGTATGTGTGTATGTGAGTGAGTATGTGTGTGTATGTGCATGTTTTTTTTGTGTGTGTATGTGTGTGTAGGGTAGGGTAGAAGTTAACCTCAGATATCATTCTTCAGATGCTACTCAGATTGTCTTTTGAGACAGAATCTGGTAGGTGATCATGAGGATTCCTCTGAGGCTTTTTAATATCTGAACAAAAGCAGGGCTCCTTCAGAAGAGCCCAGAACCTACATTGTTCTTGGTGACCTTGCTATTAGCACAGCTGTGAAAAATCTTCTGCAGGGTAGAAGGAGGAGCACATGGCTGTAACCTTATCACTTGAGAAATTTGTAAGAGTTATCACAGTTTCAAGACCAGCCTGGGCTACATAGAAGAAAGAAGGGGATGTATAAATGATTTTTTGTCTACAGATATTTTCTAGCTAACAATCTATATGCATGTACTAACTAATATCCAGATTCTTCGATCATAGTTGAGAAGATAAGTTCCAAGGAACAATTTTCATTCCTGAGAAAGCAGATAGGTTCTTTCAGGCCACTAATTGCTTATACAAAATAAACCAGGTGGTATTACAATAAAGCAATATGCCCACTGCAAATTTTCTATATGTTTAAAATAAGCATCTCATAAGAATTCTGGGTTCTAAGGCATTGTTCAGGGTCATGTATACCTTCTCTGTCTATTTTCTGTGATTCTAGGCTGTGAGCCCCGGGCCTTGTGAATGCCAGGCAAACACCACCAACTGAGCTACAGCCTACTTGGGATGCATGTTGGTCCAGGCTTATGTGTGCACATTCACACTTTTTCTTATTAGACTGTTGTTACGCAACCTTTCTGTGCAAACATAATCTTGAATATAAAAGTCATTGAGACATAAAGACAATGTCTTATGAAAATGAAATGAGAAGAAATCACCCTTTATTTTGAAGCCCACAAATTAGTATAAAGCATTGAGGTGAGGGAACAGTGTGCGCTGAGGTTGAAAGGAGAAGAAGCAAAGGAACTGTGTGTAGTTGGAGAGAGAGTTCTCTTCTATTGTGGGGGCAGGGGCGGGCAGGGGACATGACCATAAGCAACAAGTACACACTAGGGCATCTTAGCTGAACATGAACTACAAATATAGATATAAAAGTTAGTTAACCTGTGTGATTTTTATTAAATTTATATGTAAATACAGATTAGAAAACCTTTTCATGCCTAACCTGCTTTTGGATTCATATACTGTAGTAAGATGAGTGAACACGTTGGCATCACTATTAATAACACAGGTGTGCCTGTTTCTGTTGCACTCAGGATCTGGCAGAGATTTTAGAGTTCAATTTAGACCAGTTCCTTAAATTTTGAGATGAAGAACCTGAGGCCCAACGTGGGGTCAGGTAAGTGTCAGTGCCATGGATCTGATTCCCACCAAATATAGTGTCATACACACCCACAAGTTTATAAAGTGCACGTAAACTGTAAAAGGTTGTAGTTATAAACATATCCAGGGAAGGAAAGCAGCCAAGAGACATCTTTTAAAAATGATTTAAATTAAAAAAATCAGTTCAATTTGAGAATCATAGATCATTTGATATTCAATACTTTAGAGAAATAATTCTAAATTTAGACACCATGTTTTTTGCTTTAAGAAAAAATCCATACATTAGCTCTGTGAACCTGTGAGTATAGTTTTTTATGATTGCAGCAAAAAACAATTTTCTGGAGGACAATTCATTACTACCACTTTGGAGATAAGGAATAATTTATTTCCCTGACTTCACTGTTACAAGAAATTGTGCCTTTTCAGATATTAATGGTCTTGTTTCTTCCCCTTAGATATCATTATTCATTTCTTTAATGTGTATGGTAACTTAAACATAATCCTATCTACAGAATTCAAACACAATAAATGATCGCTTCAGGGGTACTGTTAATTTACACACAGTAGAGTGTATGTTTCTGACATAGTTAACTATGATTATCTAACAAGAAATCCCTAAACAAGGAGCATGAGATGCAAATGTTACTGGGATAGGATCAAAACTAGACAAAACAAAACAACAAACAGGAAAACACCTTTCAAATGATTCCCTCCAATTGCATATAAGCGATCATTCATCACAGCCAAAGTGTGGATGGCACGTTTTGTGTTCATGTCTTGTTTGCGGGCCCAGACATCCATGACAGGGTCATAGCAATACAACCAGGGCACATATTCTCCATTGTGCACACCCCCTGTGAAAAACAGACACATCTGGGTCAAGTGAGTGCCTTGATCAATGAACTTTGTAAAGAAAATTGGAGGAATGGCTTGCCTGAAATATATATTTTTCCATTGTGCACCGCTCCTGCATGGGCTGCCAGAGGCTGAGGCAAAGAGGACACATAACGCCACTCGTTTGTGTCCAAGTTGTAGCACTCCACACTGGACAGGTAGCCGGTTTCATTTCTCCCGCCAATCACGTATAAATGCTTGTCCAAGCGGCATGCATAGAAACTGGCTCTTCTACAACGAAAACAACAGCTCTCAGTAAATCTGTGGAGTACCGCTTTTGCAACGCAGTAAGGGGTACTCAATCAGCCTGTGAAAGGGAGTATGCCTCTAGAGAGAGCTGCAAACCTTTGACTGCTACTGATTTGCCTTCTAAATCCAAGACAAACACGGCAATCCTATATATTACCCACCCAGTTAGCACTTGTGATGTTGAAATGTTAAAGAATGTGTCTGAGTTTTTCCTCTTCCTTTTTATACACTGCTAAAGTGTTCATTAACGTTGGGGGTGTTTGGTACTTCTAAAGATATCATAGTTCAGTGAGACAAAGTGAAAAATGAGGCAGATAATGTAACAATAATAAATTATCTTGACATTCACTTCTTTATGGTCCTTCAAGGGTCATTGTTCCCAATTTATTAGAAAACTGCATCATCAAAATTTCTCTTCAATTATCATTTTTCCCCTCCTAGTACGACTGCAAATAGAACAACTACGGTGAACTTTGTCTAGTGTTTCTATACATTTGACTTTTAACATATAACCAACTACAGGAATTTCATCCAGGGAGCTTTTGGTATTGATTCTAATAAGGTTATTGAATGATTTTAGTTCTCTGTTAAAGAGAGGCTACTGACAGTGTTTGCATGCTATACTTTCAAAGGCAAAGTGTGTGAAGTTCATTGAAAGGATAGGTGACCAATTGTGAGGTGTAGCCCATGACTTAGGATGGAGATATCGAGAAGCTCAATTTAGACTTTCAGTAGAAGAAATGGAAAGAAGTGAAATGAAAACTATATTAATAGAAGAAGATGGAAGACATAACTAGTAAGACATGAGAAGTAAAAAATATGAAAGTCTCAGTGGTCTAAACATTCAGAGCATGGATGGCCAGGCTTATGATGACCAGGATGGCATACATGTGGTCCACTACTGAATAAATATTACTGGTAAATGCCAAGGCCCTGAAGGACGTGATTTACACTGGATTAATTAATAGACTCTATAAAAATTGATGCTATGATTCTTGTGTATCATCAGTTATAATATGGACACTGTTAGAAATTTTTCTCAGGTCCTCCATATTATTTGGAGCTATTCAAGGTTGTGTGTATGGAGTATTGAAACATTTAGGGGCATGATACCTCAACAGACAATATGACTTACAAAACTAGATTGTATGGTGTGGTACACTAGGTGTGTGACCTTTGATCTGGTATAGAGCTTCTCTCAGGCTCAGATTGCTCTCCAGTAACATGGGGACAGTGAGAAAATCTTCCCATGAGGTGTGTACAGATATGTTCACGTGCCTGTATCAGTGCCCACTATTTATTTGTTTATTCTCAGAAACTGTCAGGCAATCTTTATCTGGATAAAAGTTAAATGAACTCTTCCCAATATATTCCAAGGCTCACATATCAGTGCTCAGGACCATAAATGTTTTGGATTTCAGGAATCTTTGTATTTAGAAATATTTAAATAGAGAAGATGTGGAAGGGACCCAAATCTAAACACAAAATGCATTCCGGTTTTATACGGACTTTTTACACTTATGCTTCATTCAGTCTTTAAACAAGTACTTCGATGGACAAAATATTCTTTTCCATTGTATCTGCTGAATCCAATTGGTGCAGGAGTATGGGGCCATCCACTGGAATATGGGCCATGCGCCTAAAGCATGGGACTCTTCTCCCAGCTGGCAACCACCAACAGGCTTTGAAAACCCTCCTCATCCATGCTAGAATTTTTAACTGGCTTGATCTTGTCCAGGTCTGGACAATATAACTACAGCTACTGTGAGTTTGCGTCTGCAACAGCCACCCCTTATTCACAAGATAACATTTCATAGTACTTTTCCCCACACTCTGGTTCTCACAATTCTCCCTACTACCTCTAACACTTTTGCTGAGCCTTCATGGGAGGGAAGTTGATAAAGGTACCATTTATATGGTGAGGCACTCACGGTTATTTTATTCTTAGCACTTTCACCAGTTATGAGTGTTCATACTGGTGATTTTATGCAATACTTTCAGTGTGCATGTGTTTTTACTATGAACATGTCACCTGAAGTTACATGTAAATCACATTGGATGCATTTCAGATTACAGATACTCAGTTTGGGATCCTGAAGTGACAGCCAAAGTGTCATATTTGCTCAGATGACTTATCACTATTTAAGTGTAATACTATTTGGAGATGATACTGAGTCCAACTTTTGTGATAGACTTACATTGTCCTGATAGACATTGTTGATCATTTTAGGCTAATATTTTTTTTACCATATTCTCTTTTCTACATCTCATCCATATTTTTGAAAGAAGTATAAGCTGTGGAAGATTTGGAATGTGATGAAAATCAGTAACAATGGAAGGAATTAGAAGGCGAATAGTGGAACCAAAAAAATTAAAGGTGAGTCGGATTTCATAAAGCGAAGACTGTTTTTTGTGTTCTGAAACCTTAATACTGTGTGTATGTGTGAGTGTGTGTGAATCTCACCTAAGTATAAAGTTAGGGTTTTAAAAGTTACAAAGTAAGCTTCACGGAGCTGGTCCACTGACTCCTTCCACTTGAACAAATTGATTCTAGTTGCTTTTTAATGAATATGATCGGTCAAAATTATAATTTTTTGTTTTTTTAACTTTTTTTACTTAAATTAGAAACATGCATGCTTCAAATGTCAATCCCAGCTCCCTCCCTCCACCAGCCCCACCCCCACTCTCCCACCCCCAGCCCAATCCCCACATCATTCCCCAGGGTGAGTGAGGCCCTCCTTGGGGGGGGATCTCCATAGTCTGTCATTTCATGCTCTTTTCAGTTTAAAATGTTTCATTGAAAAGAATGACATGGGCCTTAAGACATACGTCTCACATCATCATGGACACAGACAGGTCAGTGTACTTCTTCCAGATGGTTCTGAGATGGCTTTGGAGGTCTCTGAGAGGGTCGTTTACAGACTGCACTGAAGAGTCATGAGTGTGGAATGGGACTACTGATTGAAGGAGGGAATTGCAAGTCCTTCTCAGCACCGATCCAGAAGGTTAAATTAATCACCATGGGTGTTGAGATCGTGACGAAGGGGGGGGCACTCCCTTTAGCAGTCTGAACTCTACTTTTCTTGTCCCCATTCCAGTTTTCTTGTTTTGCTCTGATCTGGTTCCTTGCCTTCTGACACCAAGTCAGTCTGTCAGAACTGGTTTTTATTTCAGGCAGTGTGAACCCCCTCTGATGGTCCACCTGTATTCCCCAGCCCCAGACACACACACAGAGGATTTAGTATCTAAACTGGAAAGAATCAGCAGGTTTCACTTCTGACTCAAAAATGCTATTTGAGGGTAGAAATTCCTACAGCAATGATGGTGAATAACCCCAGACTCCCTCTTTGGTCCAACTGTGTGTTTCTGAAATGCATTATAGAACAAGGGCTTGGTGAACTGTCAACTCTGAGTGCCTTCTACATGCTCAGATTTTACCAGACTAGATTATTCCCCTCAAATCCGTAAAATAACACATTTTACTTGTGCTTTATTTTGGGGGGGTGGGGGAAGCAGCTTCAAGACTATTAAATATTCCTTAGTGGAATCACACCATTGTAAGTTCAAGTTGTTCATTTCTTCCTCCTCTCACTTCTTACTGCTGTCATTGCCAGAAGCAATATTTAGCAATGTTTATCTATCTGTCTATCACTTATATATCTATATGTCGTATGTCATTTTTCTATCACTGGTCTGTCATTTATCTATTTATATATCTACATATTGATTATCTAGCTGCATTAAATGATACTTATCCTAAAGCATAAGACTAAATTTATGGAACCTTAACTTAGTTTGAATTGTTGACTTACATTATCAAGTTAAAAACAAAAGACTTTCTAAGATGAATATTATCTTTTACAGTTTCTCCAATAGTACTTAAATTTGTGAATGTTTTCGGCATGTTAGCTTCTGGCTTTTCAATCAGTGAAACAGTGGACTTATGTTGTTTCCCAAACTGTTTTTGCCCCTTGTAGTTTAGACTAATAACTAAGGGGTAAAAATGCTTCTTTATTAGTAAAATGCCCATTTTGCTTTGAAAATAAGTTACCAAAACAATTCTCTTATTCTAAGTTTTCAGTTTTTCCTTTCTTCCTACAGAATCAAACCCGAAATCTAAGATCAAAATAGTTCATCAGCATTCATTTTTATTATTATAATTCTTATTAAATATATCCATTGACAATTTCATGCATGTGTATAATGCATTCTGGTTACTCTTACCCCATCATTCCCCATTTTCTTTCCCCAACCCCCTCCTCCCTACAACACCCTTTCCCAACTTCACATCCTTTTGTTTTATTTTGTGACCCAGTGGGTTTAACTAGGGCCCTCTATGTGAGGATGGGTTTGGAGCTGTTCATTGGAGCCTGGTGGGCTCACATGTGGGTACGCCACTGGACCTGTCATCAGCCAAACATGTTGACAAAGGGGCTGATAGGACTTTGTCCTTCCTTGCTGAACTATTGGTCATTGGAGGATTCTGAGGGAAAGTAGTCATTGACTTCCATTATGTACATTTAAAATTGTATTCCCATTTAATCTTTTACTTATAAATGCATTTCTGGAAAGCATGGAATTTATGAGCTCACCCAGGGTTGAGTAAGCCTAGAGGCTGTACGTTCAACTCCCTGCTGAACAAAGAGAGAAAGAGGGCAGCAGTAGCTTTAGCAGACCCCATTGGAAGACCGGATTAGGTAAAATAGCCTAAGAATCTATTCCTAGCTCTGTAAGGGCGATTTACCCCTGCGATGACTTACAACACATTTCTCTTATTCTCAATCAGTCTGGTGACTCCTCAGCATAAGAATGTCTCAGCCATTTGGCAGGAGAATAATAGGAACAGGTGGATGAGGAACTTCTGGTTTGATTCATGATCTACGTCTTATAAAATTAACTTAAATGTTTCAATAAGTATCTCAGATCTTGAGTTTCTCATCTGTCTTAGGTTTCTTCCTCCTGTGTTTAACCATCACTGAGAGCACCAGTGGCCACTGGTATTTTGAATGGAAGTCTGGCAATGGTAGAAGGCACGCTTCATTTGAGTGATGGACAGCTGCCTAGATCAGCTATCCCACAGGGGAGATGGTGCTAGCAGGCCAGTGGGTGAGATCTGTGGTTTCTTACTCAGCTAAGGTTGATTGTTCTAAATCTTAAAACCAAGAGAGAAAGAAAGAAAACTTCTTCTGCTGAGGACCTGACATGATATACCATAATGACTTCCAGAGAAACGCTAAACAGTCCATCCTGTCAACGGTGGCTGCCAGGCAGCACCAGACCATGGCAGGTCTTTTTGTCAGGTCAATGAGCTGCTAAAAATTGTCTAAGTAGGACCTTGCCATGATAGGCCACCCTGCCTCAGAGGAAGTCATTATAGACTATCAAGTAAACAATACACAATCTAAAAAATTACTAATTAGGTTTTGTAGCAATACTTTCCATCCTTAGGGGCTGTACAGTGAAATAATTGACCACAACATGAGTTATGCCTCCCAAGCTGAAGGCATGAAGGTTAATTATCATGGTGCATAGCCCCCAGCAAATGGGACAGTGATGATAAGAGAATGACATCTCAAACATGTGTTGTCAATTCCTTTGTAAATAAAACTTTCTAGAAGATGGTTTTGATTAAAGGGCAAAGCAGGACAGTTACAGTAACAGTCACCAGAAGCTTATACCCAAAAGAAAGGGATGGAATGTTCTGGAGAAAGACAGAAGAAGACTTGTGACTCAGGAAATTTCTTACGATGTTGATTGACTTGGCAGTATTTCTTGAGGTACAGGGGAGAGAGTAAGAGATTTTCTTAAATGAGTTCATTGTGCTTAATGTAATGTCTGGACATTCCCAGTTTGTAATGTCTCCTCAAAGAGTCTCATTTTTTATCTTATTATTTTGGAGGGTTAGTTATATATCTGCAACAGTGTCTCACGGGACAGCCAGGCTGACCTCCAAGTCATTATTCCTCTGCATCAGGCTTCTGAGTGCTGGGGTTATAAAATTGGGCTTCTGTACCCATCTAAGAGAGTTTTAATTCACTTATGTGGGGACGGGAAGATATTGAGCTTCTTAATACACTTAAATAGGTTCGTACTATCTTGCTGTAGAAATGCCCATTTTGGAATGTATGCTATTTCATGAAGATTACTTTTAACATGAAATTTATGCTGAGGATATAGTTTGATCTCACAGCAATCTACTTGAGTGATAAAACAGATACGAAGGGAGCTAATTTTCTGAACAGGAAGGAAAAAAACACAGCTGATTGCTTCTTCTCTAATTCTTGATGATGAGGAGGAAATAAGCTGTAGTTCATTGTCAGTATCTGTCAGTATCTTATTGGGCAGTTTACTTAAAAGGAGGCCAAAAGAGTTCAGTGCTTAAAATCTTACATGCACATACATTATTATATGTGTACAAAGACATGGTGTCATTACTGAATACGGTTAGGAGAAATAAAATACCTATCCATACACTACTCATGTTGTAGCTAAGAGACTAGGGCAAGACAGATATACTATGTATGAAAAAATGGAATGGCAATTTTTGTTTTGTTTTGAGGGACAGGATCTCATGTCACTCAGACTGGCCTCTAGCTTTCTGATTATCTTGCCTTCATCTCCCAAGTGCTGGGATTCCAGGCATGTGCCAGCATGGCCAGCTAGGACTATTTCTTTAAAGCTAATAGATGACCTGTTCTTGAAGAGGCACATATAAATGATTTGAGTTCTTGCAATATTAAACTTAAATACAGAATTAAATGTTAAATCTCAAGTTGTTATATTAAATCTCATATTGAATACTTTAATATTTAATATAAAAGCTTTTTCATTGACACATGAACCACTATGAGGGTGGCGTTTTATGTTTTGAGAACTCAGATACATTGCCATTGGTAATAACCATATAACTGGTGGTTAAACAGTCTGTTCTAAACGTGATCACTAAGGTCAAAGAAGATAAGCTGCATATTTTTTTCTCCCTATGTTAGGACAGATAAATGACTTACTTTTTCCTTCGGCATTGACAAGGTTAGCATTGTAACTTGGGTAAGCCAAGGCTAGTATTCTGCCTTGTGTCTTTAATGGACTCTCCTCAGTGTTCCTTATCACATAGCATTGATGCAGCGCTGCTACATGTCACCACCAAACAAAATGAACACTTACCTTTCCTGCATGGGTGGGAGTTGGATCCAACTATTAAATCGGGGATCATACCGGCTGACAAAGTTTGTACTGTGTTTTCCTGTAAAGATACATTTGAGGCATTTAAAACTTAGATCCCTTTCTTGATTTGTACACTTATCTGTTTTAAAATCTTGGTTGTCAGGTTTAACAAGTGTGAATTAAGTCAAGGGACCCTCTAGCACGGCGTGACAG